ACGCAAATGACGTCACACACGACAACAGCTAAGCTAAGTTAGCCGAGACGACACTCGAAGTCGGACGGACACGATTTTCTGCCAATCTGTGTTTTTCCCTTTTAGGCTAAATATATTTTTTACGACAACTGTCTTGTTCACGGCGTCTTTTATTCGTTCCACTGGAGTTTAGCAGGTGTGTTTATAAAGAGACGAAAATTGTTTGGGGACTATCCCCCACGTTTTAGTTTATATGGTATAACCCAAGAGGCAAAATGACGCTTGCTACTGTTGTTGCGAGTTGCCATTCGTTCTACTAAACCATTAGTCAAACGCCATCATGCCTTCTGTCGTTATTACACAAACAAAAATCTCTTTACTGTTACTGGTGTTAGTGCCTCAATATGGCTATACTCGTGAAAGCAATACAACGAACTCAAACGCGTCTTCGTTCAATGTTGTCAACAAATATCCGGATTATGCAAATTTTCCTCAATTCTCCGGAGAAATGTTCATAAAAATTTGAAAAACCCGGAATTCCGGGAAAACCCGGAGGACTTTCATCTCTGCTTTGTGCCCCATAGAATTTATTTTGTGATTTCCTCTCTTGATTTTTCTGTTTGGCTCATTATATTTTTGCTTTTCTGAGTGTCATTAAAGTCATCGTTGATTTACGTTATCGGGGGGCAGTCACTCTCAAGCAGAAGGCACGGAGATCGAGAAGGAGAATGACATGCCTGTACTGTAGTTGCTTGAGTTGTGTATACGTTTAAAAAAGAACAAACACGACAGCTCATTTGTTTTCTGTCGTTTTGCTCTGCTGCAGAAACTGCCGTGTGAACACAAGTGGAGCTGCACCGACGCTGTGCCGGTGCTGCCACGCCCAGTGGCTTTGTATGTGTGAACGCTCCACAAAATTTGCTTCGGTGTAAACTATATCGCAACAAAATACATCGGTGCAGCGCCGGATCAAATGTGTGCCGTGTGAACAGCCCTATAGTGTGAGTGTGTGTGATTTACAGTCTGCAATCCCGCGTGGTGAGGTGATGTGCAAAAGCAGTGTGGTGGTGAGAACATGGATAAAGCAGTGTTTATCTGGCAATAAACTGTTATTTTGCAATTAAAGTGCACTTTTTTGTGTTGTTTATGTTGTTATTTAGTAGAAAAGCTTTGTTTAGATATTTGTGGTATCACAAATGCAAAAAAAAAAAGCATCAAAGTGAAAGTTTTGCTTGAAATGCATCCTTTCACAAAAAGCTTTTTCTCAGAATTTTTCATGGAAATTATAATTTTAAATAAAATTTTCAACTACTGTTTACTAAAGAATGGTTAAAGGCAGAAATACTTTTTTTCCTAATGAAGAAAAAAAAGAATTAAAGCTTTCTTTTGGTTGGTGCTCACTTTCATAGCTTCAGAACTCAATTTTCTGTAGGCTTTCAGAAATCTGTCAAATGGTCAAAAATGACCGGCTGTCCAATTCGAGAAAAACGAGTCAATTTTCATATACTGTTTTTTAATGTTGCACCATACGGTTGTAATGTGTGATAACTATGACTTTTGACTCACTTCCCTGTGTTGTTCAGTCTGCCACCTGATGGCAATTGTGTGGCATAAGAATGTTAAGTAAAAGTTTTTGCCCATCAAATCAAGCTTCATCTGCCGTTCTTATTACTCACATTTTGCTGTGAAAATGCATGTGTCAAATGACGATCGACGCAAAATGAAAAAAGTGACACAATAGAAACTTTTCTATCGCGACATAGTGATATATATCGGCATATCACCCGGCTCTATGTACAGGTATATGCGAGGATATTTCATTTATGCACCACTGTACAATCTTAATTTGACTTACCTGCGTGAGGGGCTCAACGGAGCCAATGTATGTGTCAGGTCGAAGAAGAATGTGTTCAAGCTGCGTCTTCTTTTGGTAAACTCTCTCAACAGACAGCTTGGAGGTTATCTTATCTTTCTTGACCCCTTCCATCTTATCATCTACACCCCTTCCATTTGCTCCCTCCTGGAAAGAATGACAAATTCAAACACAGACATGTGACTATCAAAACATAAGGGAAGACAGAAGTGCTCAGAATTATGAGGTCCATCAAAATGTGGCTCCAAAAAGAGAACTGTAAATGAAGCGAAGTCTAGGTGCTCAGAACTCCAATGTACAATGGCCAAAACGAGTGATTGTCAAAGTCTGGTACGAGTACCATTATCTGCGTGTGCCCCGCCTATTGCCCAAAGACAGCTCTTGTATTATTCAGTTGTATTTACTAGGGCGGCCGGTGGTCCAGTGGTTCGCGCGTCGACCTCACAGTGCAAAGGTACCGGGATCAATACCAGCTCCGGCCTCCGTGTGGAGTTTGCATGTTCTCCCCGGCCTGTGTGGGTTTTCTCCGGTTTCCTCTCATATTCCAAAAACATGCATGGTGGGCTGATTTAACACTCAAAATTGTCCCTAGGTATGAGTGTGAGCGTGGATGGTTGTTTGTCTCTGTGTGCCCTGCGATTGGCTGGCACCCGGTTCAGAATGTCCCTCGCCTACTGCCCGAAGATGGCTGGGATAGGCTCCAGCACACCCTGCGACCCTTGTGAGGATAAAGCGGTTCAGAAAATGGATGGATGAATGGATGTATTTATTAATTAATATTTGTAGAGTCGCTGTTCCATTGACCAAGGGGTTGGTGTTTGAGTCCCACCTCTGACTTTAAGATATCCTTTATTTGTCCCACACTGGGGAAATTTACAGTCCACAGCAGCAAGATAATACATTTACATTATTAACGAATCATCATGAACAAGAATGTGAGGATTTTTCCACTGTACGTCTTAAATATAATTCCATTTCCATGCAGTGTAATTTCACATCAATGCCTTTTCATGATCCATTCCGCCATTGGCTTTCAACAAGATGTTGACACATTAAGAGATGACACTCAACATGTCTGCAGTGGTGCAGTCTTGAGAGGGAGTCGTCTGTGTGTGGGAACACAGGCTGAGTTCCCAGTTCTCAGTGCAACTTCGTCGACATTTAATATTATTTCATTTGACAATTGATGCCTGAAAATATAACACTTTGTGAGGATACGTGGCTCAGATAATGAATAGATCAATAATCATTTCAAATCATTTAAATCACGTGTCAAAGTCAAAGCCCGAGGGCCAGATCAGGCCCCACCATGTAATTTTATGTGGCCCGTGGGAGAAAATCATGTGTGTCAACTATCATGATTCTTGTTGAAATCTGTACCGAAATGTCAAATTGTCATGGATAATAAATAACAATGAGATTTTTCCACCGGCCCTCCGAGGGTAGCCGTAACTCCAAAGTGGCCCGCGACAAAAAATGAGTTTGACACCCCTGATTTAAATGCTTCAACCGGTGGCATTCAACACGACAGTGACATATTGTTTTACTACTTTGAACCTTGTCTCTGTGGCATAGTAGGTAGAGGCGTAAAGCCTTCTCTGTCGAGAGAGAGAAATTGTATCGGGAAGCAGTATGAAAGGCACACTTTAAAATTCTTCCACTTTTTGAAATGCGCTAAAGTCAGTCAATCAAACAATTATATAATGTTTGTGTTGTCGAATTAATTTCATCAGCTTTCTGGTAGAGGTGTTAAGGCAAAGAGTTGAGGACTTTTTGGAAATGGTCCCCAAGCCATAGTTTGGACACCTCTGATTTAGAGTGATCAACAGTGGATCTGAATATTATTCTTAAGTGTTTTTTTCCTGATAGGTAAAGTGTAAATGCCTGTTTAAAATAGACTACATCAAAGGATCTCAAGACTTTTTTTGGAATAAATATTACTGAAATTAGAGCAAAAGTAGTTATATATATATATATATATATATATATATATATATATATTTCTTTTCAAGGTAACATTTATTTGCATGTTTAATGCGAATTAAAAACAAGACAATGGCACAATAATTAAATTAAAGAGATTAAATGATTTTCATTTGAGATTCAGTTGTTGCGTTCTACATTTGAAGAATAATGAGCACCTAAGAGTGAGGGAACACTCATGAAAAGGTTTGAGGCCATAAAAGACAAAATAGGTTGGGAACCCCTGTAGTCATGTGTAATTACGTCACTGACTTTTACCTCCAAATTACGTAGGCAAGGCACGCATATTGATGGTGGTTTAAAAATACATATAATTTGTTTGATGCTAGTAAAATGCATAATTACGTCACTGACTTTTACCTCTAAATTAAGGAAGCAGTGCGCGCATGTTGATTGTGGCTTAAAAAAATCTAGTATGTGTTTGAACCGAGTGAAATGTGTTGGATAAATCTTGAGGATAAATATTTTCAGCAGTCTAGATTTCAGCCCAGACAACAGTTGTCTAACCCATATTTAGAGATGGTACAACCACCAATGATCTCGAAACCCGAATTACTGAAATAACCCATCCGCCACGGTGTATATTTCATTCTCATTAAACAATAACATTGTTTTCGGGCGACGCACTTACCATCCAAGGAGAAATCCCACCGCTTCCTGCTGCGCCGTAGGACATCCTTCCTTTGTGATCCTCAAATTTAATGATGCCGCACGGAAAATGTTTTCTTCAATTACAGCGATATAACAAAATACGTTTCAATAGTTGCAAGTCATCGGAAGGTTATTAACTCCCATGCTGTTGTGTTTCACTGTTTGAAAAAAAAAATTCTTCCAATACATGCAAAATTGTTTCAGGGCTATTGTTAAAAACCATTAAACAGCCGTTCGAGGCCTAAACTTCCAACAAAGATGCTAACCAGGACACTGTTGTCAAAATACTATTTTCCACACAAAAACATTATGTATGATTCCTGTTTGGGTAGCGAAACCAACATCAAAAGCAGACAAATTAAGACTTACTAACTAAAACGACGACTATATATTTAAAGACTTCCGAATGCAAACATAGAAACGATTGTTTGCTAAATGCAGCATTGGCCGCCCGGTTCCGCCATTTGCGAGACATCCTACCAATCAGTACGAAGGGAGAGCAACCAATCAGGTGTGTTCTTTTTCATATGAAAAGGAAGGGCAACCAATCAGGTGTGTTCTTTTTCAGACGAATCGAGTTATCGCCCAATAGAAAGTTCCGTAACTGTTCGTGTCAACGCTAGTAGGCGTTGATATGACGTCGAGTGATATGTAAATTTTAGCTTTCACTGATGTTATTTCATCAAAATATAAAAAGAGAGATAAAATGACAAAGCATGTATGGTCGTGCGAATATATGCGGGTGACCATGTTTATTTATCTTTATTTAACATATTTATATATTTATGTCTTATGGATTTTAAGGTAAATTTTAGCATTACAAGTTTGCACTGTGGTTTAAGAGAGGAAAGTAATTTCATCTGTGCTGTATGTTCCACATAGAGCATAATTGACAATAAAAGCTGACTTAACCAAGGCAAAACGAATCAATAAAAAACACATGCCATTTTCTCATCATATTTATTCAACATTTATTACAATATCTGAAGACCGGGGTAACCATACCTGTCAACCTTTCGGAGCGCCAACCCATATAAACTACCAAAAAAATCCTTATAAAGAGCAAAAAATCCTTACAACATACCAAAGCATTTTATATGTCAAAATAACGGCAGAAAAAAACCCACAAAATATGAATGATATATTTGTTTCCTTGTAGAACTTGCTTGTACACTACCGAAGTATGCAATGAATGCTCTGCTGTTTTCAACTCGGAACCACGTGATTTACTGGAAAGTTACCGGAAATTAAAGCATTCGAGTAGACTAGCACCATTCTGGGCAAAAGCAAACGGAACTACCCATTAGGGGAAAACAAAAAACAAACAAAAAAAAAAAACGGAAATTGATTTGTGCGATATGGCCATATACATAAGATTCACCACAAAATCCGTATGAACTATGGCTAAACCGTATGAGTTGACAGGTATGGGTAACTTTCACAGCTGAACCAGAGGTTTTCTGTGTTACATGCCAATGTTTTCATGACTGACACCATTGTAAAGGTATCTATGACTTAAATGCAATGAGGTCAATTAGTCGACATTATGTTTTGTGTTTTTTCCCCCCCTGCAAAATTTACCTTGTCAGTATTGACTGTGACAGAATTCAGCTCTACAAAAGAGGACTTTAAAATAACAAAATTATTCAAAAAACAAATACACTGCTCAACAGCAACAACTAAGGTAAAATTCTGATCTTTATGTGTTTTCAAGGTGAATGATAATTTCAAATGGAGACTCTTCTGTATCTCTCAGACTCTGCCTGAAAAGCTGAGCGTGCTGCCATGATGCATTCCCTTCCCCACCCCTGAGCTGCGCAGTGACAGTAAACTCCGAGGAACTATTAAGACACTGGAAGGACTGCATGCTTCCATCTGAAAGTTTAAATAATCAGAGAAAATCAGCAAATCAGGTCACATTGTGCAATATTTAGTATGGATGTATCTTACATACCTCCAGAAAACTCAGTTGTAATCATGCCTGATTGCAAAAGCCAGCTGACCTCCCCCAAATTGAAAGTTTGGCTGCTGGCCCTGATTGAGACAGACTTGACACTTAATTTTGCTGGCCCAAAGTCAAATTTCCAGCTGATGTGTCCTGCAGAGGAGCCTTCAATTCGAGCAATATATACCTACAGGAAGAAATGGCAGTGTTGAGAAAAACAAAGCTGGTTATAAGTTATGAAACAGTTATGTTTATTATACTGGTAGTTGCACAAAAAGTAATTTAATGGTTGCACCTGTGGAACTCGTAGGCGTGCTGTAGCCTATCTCAGTCTTTGGGCAGCGTGTGTGTGGGTTGGGGAGGTGGGGGGGGGGGCTATCCCAGCGGGCACTCGGTACACCCTGAACTGGTTGCCAGCCAATTGCAGGTGACACATAGACAAACAACCATCTGCTCTCACACTCACGCCTAGGGACAATTTAGAGTGTTCCATTAAACTACAATGCATGTTTTTAGAATGTGGGAGCAAACTAGACTTCGCAGAAAAAACCCACACATGGTACGGTGAGAACATGCAAACTCCACACAGGAAGGCTGGTGTACGGAATTGAACCCTGGACCTCTGTACTGTGAGGCGGATGAGCTAACCAGTTGTCCACTGTGATGAATGATCATGGTTAATGAGAATATAAATCGATGCTGTGTTTGAAACAATACTGCTATTGTAATGAAGTTGCAAAGAATTGCTACTAGCTCAACAGCTTTAGCTTACAGGGCTTTAAACTCTTATTTCATTCTGATTATTTTAACACAAAACTGCAATGCAGCAAATCGGTAAGAAAAATAAAATGCATTGTACGTGTGGTCCAAAGTTCAAATTTAGGCTGTGCCTTTCTATGCGGGTTGCATGCTCACTCATGTGACAAACACATATTTCCATACTATGAAACAGCTATTATTAGAGTGTAGTACAGTAAGAATGACTGGATTAAATGTTTAAACTGTGCAGCATGTTACTGTGGCTTAAAGACCTAGTGAATTCATTTCTGCGATCTGATTCTAAATACACTAGATCGGTTTGAAGAGAAACTCTGAAAACATGTGCAGAGACAGAAAATAATTTAGTACTGAACCGTTGAGACAATATACCCTGCGATTGACTGGCAACCAGATGAGGGTGTCGTCTGCCTTCCGCCCAAAGTCAACTGGGATAGGCTTCAGCAACCCCCCCCCCCGCAACCCTGTTCAAGATAAGCGGTGTTTTAAATGGATGGGTGAATGTTGAAACAAAGGGCCCGATTTTGATTCTGAGCGCACGTCTAGCGTAAAGTGCGGTCTAACTGTGCGCAATGGTGGAGTTTTCCTTTCTTTTGGCATTTTGCCGGACTTTGCGCTGGTACAATTGGGATAAACTTCAATTTTTTTATTTTATTTTTTAAATCAGATACAGTCCAAGTGCATGTCAGCTGTATTTAACGTTTATGCAAAATACAATTGCATTTACCGTTTTTTTTGTTTTGTTTTGTTTTTTTTAGTTTTTCTATTTTCAGTTTGTTTTTAAAATTTTATTTAGGTACAATTTTTATGATTTGCAACACATTACTCATTTGAGTAATTTAAAATACTCATAGTAATTATTGTAATTCGAGTAATAATTTGAGTGCATTTATTATGTGCCTATATTTTAAGCACAGTGCTGCTGTTCAAAATACACAAAATGTTACGGTGGCTTGTAATCATATTTAATATACTGATAAATATTGTATTGCCTGCCCCTCATATCTAATAATGACACGCAGCAGAAAAAAAGCACGGACGGATGGACTCGATGGATGGACTGGATGTTCATAGGTCTATGCAAATGGTTGCCAATTAATGTAAAATAGTCTGCTAAATATGCATTTGTTACCAAAGAGCACAGGTGTCAAACTCTAGGCCTGGGGCACCAGACATGGCCCGCCATAGCCTTTTATGTGGCTGGCAAATCATGCACGTCGAATTCATGTTTCTAGCTAAAATTGCAAATTGTCTTCTTTCTTTGTAGCATTGGAATATTGCAAGCATTTTTGTAACCAATTCATCTTTTAAAATGGTTCATTTTTTTTATATGTTATTCATCAATTTGATCGGTATGGTTTAATATAAGGCGATCATACATTTATAGGCATTCACAGTTATAATGGCCCCTCCGTAGGAAACCATTAGGCGTAGAAAAAAAGTAGTGTGTTTCCGGTAACCCGACCGACCGAGAATTTCTACATCGAAAAAAAACTTTACGGTCGGCATTTTTTTCAAGCAACCCTCTACATTTTTGTGTAGAGGGTTTACATCGGTGCAAACTCTCGCGATATTCACATTGAGCGCATGCGTCGTTTGCCCTGTCGTCTGTCAACAACATTGAAACATGGCGGCGGCCGCGATCTCCGACGACAGTTTAAACAGCGTTTTGTGTGTTACAGTTGCATGCTCGCATTGTAATGTTCAGAAAATAGCATCCATTGATGTATCAAAAAAATTCAGCGAACTATTTGATGAAGACCACGGGCCGAGTAAAAACCGAGGGCGGAGAAGGACGGCGGCAGAGGCGGCGGGGGCGCCCCCGCCCGGAACCTAACACCCAGCCGCCGGGTACCCAACTCTCTCGTCGCCAGCGAGTGGAGGATTCAATGTCTCCTTGTTTTATGTTTTATGGTTATTTTGTTTAAATTTTTGATGGGGGGGGGAGATTAAAAAAAAAAATCTTTGTCCGACCTACCGACCCTATGCTGAAATTTCTTGTGACCAGAAACACACTATCTTTTTTGTTTGGCCTTATTACGATGACACCTCTGCAGCAAGAACTACCCCCCTATCCCCCAAAAAAATGACATTATAATTTTATAAATATAGGATCATTTGCAATTCTAACTAGAACACAGGAAAGTAACCTAACCCTGATGGGAGAACACAACTTTATTGATCCGGAAGGAGTAAACATACCATCTGCCAGTCGTTTTCCACCTTCCTAAAGACAGACTCCCTATTCCACGCACATCGATCCCAGCAGTGGATGATCTCAAAGTCATTGGAGATCCGACAGTATTGGTCTTTAGTCGTATTGTACAACACATGAATTAGCTTGTCTCTCCTCTCTTTCTCAGTGGGCGTGAACACATAGCCAGTGCCCTGAATGCAGAGAAAAACACAGAATGTATTCATTGATATTAAGCCATAAGTAGTCACAATATATGTGTGGGCTTTCTCTGGACACTCCAGCTTCATCCCACATTCCTAATAGTCAAATTAAGGTTTAGGGCTGCAGCTATCAAATATTTGGTATTCGGATATGCGACTGAAAATTCTATTCCATAGTCGGCTATTTGGATGAAAAAAAATTTTGGTTAAAGATTCAGAAGAAAAAAAAATATTTCCATTGAACTCATTCAGTACCAGCCAATTCTGGACCAAGTCTGAAAAGACGTTCAAAAACGTCTTTGGGAGTGAATGTAATAAATAGACAAGAAGTTTTGATTTTTAGATCATTTAACATTTTACGTTTAAATCTAAACTGTGCAGAGCAGTACACTATTTTACTCTTTAGAACAGTGTGACAATTTAGATAAATGCATAAATTTGGATCTATTTTTGCTGGCTAAAACACCATATTTGAGTGAGCCGGGTTGATTTAAAAATGATCAGAAGGAACGGCAACTGTGTCAGGCAGTCAGTGCCAAAGTGTGCAGAGTCATTTAGGTCAATTAACTTGAGTGCTGCTAGCCCGGTTGGTGGAGCTAGCTTGCCTAGCTCGGCTACCAGTGATAGTGCTGATAGCAACTAAACACTGGCAGCAGGTGCAGTAAAATACACTGTCAACATAATTAAAACTCATTCAGTACCACCCAATTCTAGACCAAGTCTGAAAAGACGTTTAAAAACGTCTTTGGGAGTGAATGAGTTCAGTCATCTTTTTTAGCGCGGCTGGCAGAGCTAGCGGGGCTCGCATGGCTACCGGCGCTAGCGCTGCTAGCAATTAAATGCTGGCAGCAGGTGCAGTAAAATATAGTGTCAGCATAATTAAGTCATCTTTTTTTAGTGCTCCTTAGTGAGCAATTGAATATTATTTCAGGACAACATTGTGCTGTTGCCTTCAGTAGCAACAGTGGAAGAGAGTCAAGTTAGCTGTGACATACAGCCGGTGATACAACTTCGAAATAAACGTTTACCATGGCATTGATGTCCATTATTTGTGAAGTAAGGTTTATTTTGAAGTTAGCCATCTTCCTCACAGTATACATGCAAATAACCCGGTACTTGAGGAAGAAAAAATGGCTCAAGCATTTTTTGAACCAAGCTCAAATTATCAAGGACCTGTTTCAGTTCTATAAAGGTTATTCGGAAATTCGAACTTGTCCATAGGTGTGAACGTGTGCTCTATGATTGACTTGTGACAATTCCAGAGGGTGCCCAACCTCTTCCCCAATAGTGATGGGCAGAAAAATCCACCATTTCTAATTATATATATCCGTTTGATCTTTGATTTATGGACTGTAACAATAGTTTCGTTAGCATCAGATGTTTGCAAGTTTTCAAACACATTGCATTGCATATTACTGCCACCTATGGGTATTACTGCGAGAAGTGAACATTATTTCTTATTTAGGCACCCAAAGGGAAAAAAGTGTCAGTAAGCAAAAAAAAAAAAAAAAAAATAACATTAAACTTTCCAGAAGTCTGAGGCCCTTTTACACTACAGTACAACTCATATTTACTTGATCATAGAGTACCTGCTTAATAGTCCCTGAATCGGCATCTCCCGTCTCTCCTCTTGCCTGCCTCCAGCCCAGAGACCCAGAGGTGCGTCCTCCCAGTTCGCCTTGTTTTGGTATTTTGGGGGAAATGAACTCTACAAGTTCAACAAGTAACCGTTCTGCCAATTCTAATTTCCTGTCGAGGCCGAGGGATTGTTGTCTCTGTGATATGAAATTCAGATCCGAGAAATTTTACATTGCTATCAATGCAGCACTAAGTCTGACAGGAACGGATGAAGAGGTAAACACCTACCAAAGCATTGAGCCCAATAATAGTGTGCAGCAGCCAGGTCTCCTGAACATTGGTCCTTCTTGACAAAACCTCTGGATGTTTGCAAGAATACCTCCACGTCACATCAACCACCTGCAACATACACCCATACATTAATTTTCGTGAAAATATAATTCCCTTTGGTTTAAGCAGCATGTATTAACTGCAGAAATATTTTATCCAGCTATTCATTTTCTTTTTTGGTTATTCTAATTAGGGACATGGGTAACTGGAGCCTGTGACAACTCGGGATGGGTTCCGAAGAGAGTACTTTTGGGGTATATACCGATTTGGGTCTGTACTGCCTAGCACTAATTCGTGTGAAATCAAACAGCGACCTGATTGGGTTCAGAAGCTCGTACAACTGTGCGGGAGTAGAAAAGTTGTCGATTTTCCATGACGCACTGCACGGACACCAGCGTAATGATGTCACCCACTCATATAGGGTTTCTTCACAAATGCCAAAAACATATTTCCAGGTTTGGAAACGAGCGAGACTTGCCCGCCGCCACGCCAAACAAATACAATTTATGAAGTACAGTAGTCCCTCGCTATAATGCGGTTCACCTTCTGCGGCTCTGCTGTTTCACGGATTTTTTTAGTGCAGTTTTTTTAATGCTTTTTTTTTTTTAAAACAGTGAAGTGTGTTCTGCATTCTGATTGGCTAAGGGACTGACCAACGTGAACAGTATCCGCACCTCGTCTCTGTACAGCTTGCCAAATTTACCTTTGAAAATTTTTGGTCTTTGGTTTCATTGTATCAGCGGCGGATGCTGGTCTGTCAAGGAGGGGAAGCTCAATTTCGGCCTACATCATAAAATGTGTCCGTTTATTTATACGTGAATTCTACTCTCCGTTCCTTTTCAAAAAAATGAAAAGGATGCTTTCGCCATAATATCTGTGATTGGCTCATTTCGCTGTCAATCAAAAAGAGATTCAGCCTCAGACAGATCATCCAATCACCATGCAGAAAAGCTGAGCTTCCTGGCCAGCCTATAAACGCCCCCTGTCCATAGACTCCCAGAGACGCTGATCGTCCAATGGGCGGGACAAAACCAGCATTTATCCAATGACTTGTCTCGTTTCAATGCATTGGGACAACCTACACTGAACTCTCGAGACGCCCAGCGTCCGCGCTAAATAAATAAATCCTTGTCTCATTTTTTGAACTATTCCACCGTTCGGAAAACTAAAATTAAATAAAGCAATACACAATAATGCATTCAAATTCAGTTCAGCAACATTAATTCAGGAGCACAAGACAGAAAACACTTCGACCTCCAAATTTCATCCCTCTCACATTTTTCGTGCTTTTTTTTTTTTTTTTTTTTTATAAATCCTACTTCATAGATTTCATTTAGCACTGGTTCTTTTTGGAATGTAACCCCCGCGATAAACGAGGGATGACTGTATTTATTTATTTTTTGTTGATGCACACTGCACCCTAATCATTCAATCAGTCTCACTTTCACAAAAAGGTATTTAAAAAATAAAAAGCAGGTCATCTTTAACCGGCGGTGGGTTCGACCTGCGTCACCGGAAGTTGTTAGCGCTCAGCAGTCTGCAATTGCAGCTTGTGATCATAGCTGTTGCGCTATTTATTTTATCGTTATCATTATTCTCATTCAGAGTTTGTTTCATGTACAATTCACAGAGGGCACGGGCAAAGAATGGGAATCTGGAGGGCCGAGAGAAGCATTGTAAAATGGTATGCGTGAGCTACGATAGTGAACAGGCTTGCAAAAGGGCATCACACGCCACCACGTCAGGCTGCTGCTCATGATAGTATGCGTGTGGGAGTGCGCGGTAACGGGCCAATCGCGGGAGGTTGGTTGATCGAAAAGTAGATCTTCGGTCAAAAAAGTTTGAGCACCCCCGGTGTGTAGACAATGTCTGACATAAAATAAGTGATTGATGATTAGGATCAAATTGGATTTTTTCGTTTTTTGCAAGACATTTTTTAGCATAAGTACAGGTACAAAAAAGTAACCCATTTGAGTTGAATCGGGATTCACTGCTGAAACAGCGAAAGAAGCTGATCTCTAATTATACCACATGGCATGACAGCACAGTATTTTCTGACTGTAGATTTATCATTAAAAAGATTTCAGATTCCAATGTGAAAAACATTTAGTGTAATTATTTACTCTTCATAATTGTTGTTCCACTCTATTACTGGGTTTAAAAAAAATCTATAAAATTTGTTATGTCCACGTTCCAGTTATGGCACAGATCAAAACGCAAAGTACTGCATCAGAAAATATCAAATACAATGCACACTATCAAATACAAAAATCTATAAAATTTGCTATGTCGACGTTCCAGTTATGGCACAGATCAAAGCGCAGTCAGAAAATATCAAATACAATGCACACTATCAAATATTCAAGAACTCACATCCATCCATCACAGGATAAATTATGGCAGTCACCAAAGAAAATTAACATACACATAACAGCAACAGTGCATATCATACCAACAGTGCAACACACCTGATCCCGTGAAAAAGCCAGAATATAGGAGAGTTTCTTCCCCCAGCCAACCTCATAGAGTAAAGGTTTATCACAGATGTTTTCACATGGGTCACAGTGTAGCCAACGGCGCTGAGACACAGAGTAAACCTCTGTCCACACGTGATCTGAAAAAAGACAGACTACCCTTAGTCTTAATACATTTTTACTGAGAATGACAGAAAATGGTCTTGTGGTATTGCAGTAATAACAGCTACAATGAGTGCTGTGTGATATTATTATGTACTTGTATATTGTAGTTTGATAGAAAATGGTCTACTCTACGATATAACCCTCTACATCAGGGGTGCCCAAGACGTCAATCGCGATGGACCGGTAGATCGCAGACTGGTCCCAAGTCGATCGCGAGGGGTGTAGGGTGTGTCTATGTGGGTTATAAATGTGATATGTTTTTAACATTTTGCATGCTGCACTCTTACCATCCGATCAGTCTCACTTTCACAACAAGTATTTTAAAAAATAAAATAAAATGAAAAAGTAGATCACCTTCAACCCATGGCGGCGCGTGACCTGCATCACCGGAAGATGTTAGTGTTCAGCAGTCTGCAATTGCAGCTAGTGATCAGAGCTGTTGAGCTATATCTTTTACTGTTGTTAGCATTCTCATTCAGGGTTTGTTTCATGTACAATTCACCGAGGGCACTGGCAAAGAATGGGAATCTGGAGGGCCGAGAGTAGCGTTTGAAAATGGAACACGTGGGCTATAATAGTTAACATGCCGCAAAAGCGCATCCCACGCCGCTGCATCAGGTCTCGACGAAGGTAGGCAGTGATTTCCTTTTTCACAAACCCACAAACTCATGTATCTACTTTACTTTTCTGTTTTGTTCATCTTGGGGGTGGGGGCGTTATGGATGTTGCTCATCATGGCACGTGAGTGTAAGTGCGTGCGTGTGCGGTCGATCGCGGGAGGTTGGTTGATCGGAAAGCAGATCTACGTCCGACGCCTCTGCGTCAGGTCTCGACGAAGGTAGGCAGTGATTTCCTTTTTCACAAACCCACAAACTCATGTATCTACTTTACTTTTCTGTTTTGTTCATCTTGGGGGTGGGGGCGTTATGGATGTTGCTCATCATGGCACGTGAGTGTAAGTGCGTGCGTGTGCGGTCGATCGCGGGAGGTTGGTTGATCGGAAAGCAGATCTTCCGTCAAAAAAGGTTGGGCACCCCCCTGCTCTATATGGTGAGGTCACGCTTCTGGGGTGGAGAGAGTGCTAAAAAAAAACTTTATTCATCATAAAGCTAATGCTGAGAGACACAAATTGTTTGTTCCTCGTGTGGAAAGTTGGCAGACAGGTCTGAACTGCTCGCAGGCCAATCTCGTACTTGCACCTTTTTACTACGAAGCTGCGCTATTGTAACCCTGAAGAACATGTTTTTCTTCCCCCCAATTTTGCTGCTGCAGACTGCAAATTTCCCCAGTGTGGGACAAATAAAGGTTATCTTATCTTACGGCTGACATTTTCTTGCTGAAATAAGCAGGGACATTTCTGAAAAAGACATTGCTTGGATGGCAGCATTCATTGGTCCAAAATCTGTGTGTACTTTTCAGCATTCGCATAATTTCCGGACTATAGAGCGCACCTGATTATAAGTCGCACCCAGTACATTTTTAAAGGAAAAAGCATTTTGTACACACATAAGCCGCACCTGTCTATAAGCCGCAGGTGCCCACATTGTAACATGAGATATTTACAAAGAAAGACGGTACACAGAAAGCGTTTTCACAGGTTTAATAACATACCTTAGCTTGTCTTTCCAAATAGTGCCTGTAACCCGGCATCACCATGGCAGTAAAACAGCACTAACAATGCTGGTTAAAAAAAACATAAAAGTCACTGTTCGCTGTCGAGTAATGCTTTCTTTCTATTAAAAAAATCCTCGCTTGCTGTAACACTCAGTCAAGCATTCCCTTCATTAGGCTTTCTACCATCAATGCTTTCGGGTCAACTTTCACAACAATGTCTTTTGGGGTTTTGTTTTTTTTTTGCGCTTTCGGGTCAACTTTCACAACAATGTCTTTTTTTTGGCATCGTGAACCTTAGTGGATGCAGTGCAGCCCAAAACATGGGTGAAATGCGCCCTTTCATTGCCGGTTGTTTTCAGTGTGTGATAGATGATAGTCTTCCTCAACACGTATTCATCAACTTGTCTCATTCTTACCTTTTATGCTCCCTGGCGGCCATTCGAAAAATTGTTATACAGTAAATATTCCCATCCCCGGAATTCTATGAAAAGGAATATCCTTCACCCGGACTAAAAACCTGTGCATTAACATTTTGACTACGATTTTACATGTTATCGGAACCTACGTAAGCGGAAATTCCACTAGCCGAAACCCGGATGGAGATGTCATGCCGCGGGAGCTTAAATACATGCAACGCCCACCCGATGCTACGGAAAGACACGACGCTGAGACTAGTTTTCACTTCGCATTTTTCGATCATCAGATTCGAAACGACGACCTCTAAGTAAGTTTTTATTGCCGTGCGTTTAATTGTAATTGTGAATGATTTTAACTTTATTCACTTACGTCTCGTAGTTAGCGACACCGGCTTAAAAAGCAGCGCCCACTCGACACTACGAAAGACAGGTGATCGCTTCGCCGTTTTCATTCATCCGATCCGAAACGATGACGTGTGAGTTTTTATTGGCGTGCATTTTATTGTAATTGTGAATGATTTTAACGGTACGTATTCACTTGCGCCCTGTAGATCATGGCATCGAAACGTCCAAGAACTGTAATGACTGTAGCAGAGCGGGTGAAATGCATCCGTTTGAGCGAGGCTGGACACAAAGTTAAAAGCATCCAGGAGACACTTGGAGTCGGAAAGACCAAAATCTACGAATGTGGGAGTCTGCCTGCTCAGGAAATTGCTTGTGGCTTGACGGACGAGATTCAGCGCGGTAAATGATCGTGTGCTGGAATGGTTTCACTGTTGTCGTGCTAAAAACTTCCCGCTAACTGGGCCGCTAATTCGTGAGAAGGCTAGCTCCATAGCGAAATCTATGGGCATAGACGACTTCGAAGCGTGCGGTGGCTGGCTGCAGAATTGTCAGTTGACCAATTCTGTCTTGTGTGGTGAGGGAGGAAGGTAAAGATTGAGACGGTGAGCGAGTGGAAAGGGAAGCTATCAGGTCTCATCGAAGGATATTCAGCAAATAATATTTTTAACTGTGATGAGACCGGATTATTTTTCAGAACTCTTCCATCCCGCTCATATGTGAGTAAACGTGATTCTGCAAAGAACGGCAAACTTGCTAAAGACCGGATTACCGTCCTGTTGGCAAGTTCAATGGCTGGTGAAAAGTTGCGTCCATTGGTCATTGGAAAATCAGCAAACCCGCGGTGCTTCACAAAAAACTATTAACAACAAATGAGAGTGACATATGAAGCCAACCGCAAAGCTTGGATGACTTCAGAAATCTTTTTGAAGTGGTTGCATCAGCTAAATAACAAGATGGTCATCCAAAACCGAAAGATTCTATTGTTTATGGATAATTGTGGAGCCCACGTCCCAGCAACCTTGTCAAACATGAAGATAATTTTCTTCCCACCAAACACAACATCTCACTTGCAGCCGATGGATGCTGGAGTCATCCAGAATGTCAAGCTGCAGTATCGTAAGAGCATGCTGAAAAGCATTTTGCTCAAAATGGATGAGTGCAACAAAGCAAGTGATCTTGTAAAAAAAAATCACTGTCAGGGATGCCATTGAATGGATAGAAGCTGCTTGGATGAAATTAGAATCTTCTACCATCAGTAAATGCTTTTCCAAGTGTGGATTTTCACACACAGACGCCATCACTCACGATGCTGAGGGGGAAGATATTGATGAGACTGACCTTATTCCACTGCGTCAAATAATTCCTGACCTGACAAACCAGGATCTTCTAAATGTGGACTGTGATTTGGCTGTCACGAAAGATTACACAGCAACAGAAATCACAGAATTGCTCGAGCAAACCACCAATGTGATTGAGTCTGAGGAAGAAGATGATCTTCCCGGTTCAACTCCTGATAACAAGCCACCTTCCAGCAAGGAGGCAATGCGAATGGCAACAAAAATCCTTCGCTACGCACAAGAATCCCCAGACATCGGCGATGAACGGGACAGTTACTTGCAACTAGCAAGAACACTGTATGACACGCAGGCGAACATTCTCATAAACCAAAGAATGCACGCAACGAAACAATCCAAAATAGACAATTTTTTTTCCCAAGGTTGCCAAAACACAAGCATTAAAATACTGTACTGTACGTACTGTATTGTACTTTTGTGATTTTATTTATTTATTTTTTTTTTGACAGACCTGTACCTGTATTGCAGTTTTTGTTATATGCAGGAAACAGATTCTGGACAGTATATTTTTGCATTTTATTGATTGTGTTGAATGAACGGGACAGTTACTTGGAACTAGCAAGAACACTGTATGACACCCAGGCGAACATTCTCATAAACCAAAGAATGCACGAAACAATCCAAAATAGACAATTTTTTTCCCAGGGTAGCCAAAACATAAGCATTAAAATACTGTACTGTACGTAGTGTATTGTACTTTTGTGATTTATTTACTGTATAGGCCGCTTCATTAAATATACCGCAGCGTTGAAAGCGTGTGACAAAAGTCGCACCTTATCAGTTTTTGTTATATGCAGGAAACAGATTTTGGACAGTATATTTTTGCATTTTATTGATTGTGTTGTGACACGTGTTGACTGTTACACGTGCATTTTGTCAACATACTTGCAGGTTCATAAAGGACATGTACCATGCTCATTTCCCAAATGAGGAATTTCTGTTATCAGGACAAATTGGACAGCGCAAACACGAGTCCGTACTAGAGAATTTTTACTGTATAGGCCACTTCATTAAATATGCCACAGCGTTGAAAGCGTGTGACAAAAGTCGCACCTTATAGTTCGGAAATTACAGTAACTGTGCCTTCACAGATGTGCAAATTGAGCTCACCTGGCAATATCATGCCAGTTTTTAATGTAATGCCACCTGACGGATTCACCGGTATTCGATGTTGGTTTTTGGCCTTGCCGCTAACATGCAGTGATTTCTCCAGATTCTCTGAATGTTTTGATCATATTATGGAGC